GTAAAATACAACATGAAGCTTAAATGTTGTCTGGGTTAGAAGCCTGGACTCTCAAACAAAACATGTAGTAGTAGTAGTAGTAGCAGTAGTAGCAGTAGCAGTAGCAGCAGCAGCAGCAGCAGCACTAGCAGGCACTATTTGACTCTTTGGGCTATAAATATAAGTTACGCATACTTTACTTTGACTTGTCGATGCTGGAGTTTGCCACCTCACATCCCATAATGATTGTGTGTCATTGCTTTTGTGAAACTTTTGAGTCATCGTCTGTCAGAAAATAGCCTCTCTTACCAGAAAGCCACTCTCTCTCCCTCTCATTACCACCATTCATCCCACTGAGTGATACTCCATGGTGCTCTTTGACGCATTCAGTGTCTTGTGATGTTTATGGGGAGTACTCTGTTAATAGCAGGTTAATTACTCTCTAAAAAGAGCAGGAAATGGACATATTTGGCCATAAAGGCTATAAATGTAAACGCTAGAATCTGATATGGGACTTGAGATGATGCACAGCAGCAGGAGGTGCCGTTGGGGAGAAGAATATTATAGATTATAGCTCCAGGATCCCAGCTCAATAAAATCCAATATGTTTTGTGTTTTGAAAAGCCTTTATGTTAGCAATACTAATGAGCTAAAGTAAACATTACTCATCAAATGCACTGTGCTGGGAATACGGGTTTTCTGTCCATTTTTTCTTCATTGGATATAAAAGAGATGCTGGTTAATAATAAAAGCCTCGTTCGTCGGACAAGTCAAGAAATGTAGTATAAAAAATGAAGAGTAAAAGGCTAAAATCAATTCCAGTGAAGTTTAAAGGAAGCATTTATGAAGTAATGTTGCTGTAATAGTTTAAATCACACAGTAATGCGGATCAATTATAGAACAGGAGGAGTTCAGTCTGATAATGTGGTAGAAATGTGCTGTAGTAAATTGCATGAATTGTGTCTCTCTGTGTGTGTTTGTGTGTGTGCAATATCTTAAATGTTTTTTGGGAAGTAAATAAAACAAATTAATCTACTCCAAGCCCCGGTGATCCAAGATTTCGCCCTATTCAAATGAATGGCTTGTGCTCAGTAACGCATGGAACTTCACGGAGACCGGGAGATTAGCAGAACTCGCCTATATTTGGGCATCTTCTGGTCCTCTCGGTTCTGTGCAGTGGACGAGCTCCCATGATGCGTTGCGCCAAATATGCGTGTGTGGCTCTCATGCACGTGCACAGGGGGGCTCGGCCGCGTATTGACCTATCAGAGCTGCTGATCAGAGCAGCGGTTGAGGGGAGTCAGAGCGGGAAGGAAAGCAGCAGACTTTGTGGTAGTAAAGTGGAAATTTAAAGAAAACTGAAGGATTTAAGACGAAAAAAAAAGTCCAGGATGACAAGGGACACTAAAATCTCCACAAAATCCGACCTTTATGAAAGCTGTAGGTTCTCTGTCAGCTGAGGTCGAGCTGTTTTAGTTTACATTGAGATATACGGGACTTTTTTCTGGGTAGCCCATGTGTATTTAGTCTGCAGTACCACGGGCGCCCCCTGTGCCCATGGGTGGGGCAGCTATAAGCTAGTAATACCCTATCCAGTAATTATTCCCTCTGGTGGTAGCAAAGGCGGATTTTTTTCCCCCTTTGCCTTTTTCACCATATTTTTAACTATTGAACTGATGCCCCCCTACATATTCTAATTGTTCAAGTTTTTCCCACATTACCATTCTATTGATTTTCAAAAAACACACAACCCACGCTTAGAAATGAAAGCCCCAATTTGTAGAAATGAAAATGGTTACATCTGCGTCGGCTTTGAACTTTTGTCAGTTTGATGAATATAATTTGGATGATTTGGGAAGCGGTTTGCAGACGCTTCAGGCCGCGGCGTTTGAAGAGGGTCTGCTCTGATGGCTGCCGTCTTCATTTCAATGGCCACGTTTTGACCTGTCAGTGGGGGAGACCAGTTTGTAATTTTTCACTTGATATCATCGTTATTATCTCTGCTACCACTGATTTAGTCATTGTGGATGTCAACCGCTGTGGAAGTCAGCAGTGATATTGTTAATGTATGAGTGTAGCACCCCGCCAACAAGATAAAAGTTTTTATCTCAAAATGAACATGAAATATAGCTGCGAAACTTGACTGTGACTAGAAACTCGCAGTTGGGTGGCACCTTGATCTTTTTATTACTTTTAACAAACTGATGCTTTTATGTTTCACTCTTTGGCTACGACCAATCAAAGAACTACAGAACTTTTCTTGTTATTAGGTGTTACGTTTGTCAAGTGCTGCACACTAGTAAGTAATTAATTTTGTTGTGGTAAAGGCGCCTCCTGCAGGCTCAAGGCTTTCTCTGCAAGATGCTTAAAAGACAGGCATAGGTGAGGAAAGTTTGTGCTGATTTTTATTTTGCCACATTTTTTGTTTCCATTATCAATGGGAATCCGGGAGTGCAGGGTCTTTATTTAGCCGGCCATTGCAAGTGCTTGTTGGAAAATGCCATTCTCGTACCTTTTGTAAAGAAACGCTGAACTCTGTGGATTTCACTCAATTAAATAGAATATTAGCTTTAAAAGGGAGGTGTTTGCGTCGCGCATCAGTACAGATACAGGTAAAATTCATTAATGAAGCTAATGACATGGCATGCTCTGGGTCTTGGTATTTTGTCTCCGGTAAAGAGAAATACTAACTTTTTAGTGTCATTTGTGACAGTACAAATATAACAGCACAAATGTAAATGAGGATTAATGTTTTGGGCAAGCGCCATAAATTTGATTCAGCATAAATTAAGGATTAGGGTTAGGCTAGCCTCCTGCAGGATGAAATGCCAAGATTGTATGTGACACCCAACAATTAGCCTCCTGCATTTAAGATGAAGGTCCTTTATTCGTCCCACAGTGGGAAAATTTCAGTTTTGATGAACACACATACAGTCGGTGGAGAAGGTCTTGCGCTTGTGCTCTACCAACTGTGCCATTGTCGGGCCATTTTTACTTTACAGCATGAAAACCAGCAGCTTGCATTCAACTATGTTCTATTTAGCTACACATTTTATATAACAATGTAACCATAGCAAACAATAAGGGGCGCTCAAACACCTGAGACGTACGGTACGTTAAAGTCTTCAGTGGAAAATGTAACGGTTTGTGGCCTTCGCCTTTTCATGTTTCTCTTTATTTTGATTTTTACAATATATTATGATGAACCCAATCGTCCTTCATTTCAGTGTGAATAGATGTTATCCGTGGACCAATCTACTACCGTGAATATTACTTCAGTGATTCATTTCGTCCTCAGATGGCTTTCACAACAGGAGAAGCACAGTAACAGCACAATTCCATGAAACCGTGGCAAATATTTTCATGAGCAGTGGGTAGAAATCAAAACTGAAAAGATTATTTGAGTTAGTGTAGGGGAACCTAACGTTGTTGTTTACACATACAGTAGATTACACATTCTTGCATTAGTAAATTGTGAATAAATCTGACCACAACATCCTGTCTTTATCTCAACATGTTTTCAGAGCATGGGACTTGTTAGGTTACATTGAAAACATTGGGCGACAGTAGCTCAGTTGGTAGTGCATTGGCCTTTGAGCCAGAAGGTCATGGGTTCAAGCCCGACTTTCACCATCGACTCCTGCTGTCGTTGTGTCCTTGGCAAGACACTTAACCTCTGGGAACACCAGCCACAGTGCGGCGGCTGCGGCTGTAAAGTGCCAAACTGCCAATGTGAATGGTTGGTGGTGATCGGGGCACGTACTGGTTGCCTCGCTTCTGTCAGTGTGCCCAGGGCAGCTGTGGCTACAGTAGTAGTTTATCGCCACCGTGTATGGAGTGAAAGAATAATGACATGTACAGCTCTTTGAGTGTCCAAAAAAGCAATATATAAAACCAATGCATTATTATTATTATTATTTAAATGAGGTAGCCCAGTATTTGTTAACAATTGCCTGAAGGCAACACATGTTAGTGCAAAATAATACATTTAATTGAATTTGCAATTCTACACTGTTAAAATAATGAAGACCCTGTTAAGGTTGAAGTAAAGGTTTGTTTTCTCGTTTTGTGGTTTGTTGGAGACGCTTTAGTTGAGCTTACAAACCTTAGTTTCTGTGTTTTTGGTTTGTAATTGGTTTTGTAAATTTTGATTGGTTTAAACAGTTTTTCCTTTAAAATTGTTGATTGCCTTTTTCTGCTTTATAGGTTATTTATTTACTGTGTTGCTGTAAATGTATAATCTTATTTTTGTTGCCCCTTTACCTATTCTGTCGTTTAAATAAATTCCTTCCAATCTCTTATAGCAGAAGGGCAACGATTCACACAAATCCAAACAGTGAAACAGCTTGTCACACCTACAGTATGTAAATCACTTTGAGAAAAAACTTTGAGAGAAAGGAAAAGAACAGGCTCTGATAAGGTTTGCCATGTTGAATGGCAGTCTGTTTCCACGCTGAAATAAGAGACAGATGTCATTTGTTGATATTGTTCACATGACAATACATTTCCTAACATGTTATATCATTCTGAGAATACTCAATTACTAAACTAATCATTTCCTCAAGCCCTACTATCAATAACATTTTAATCTTTCTCTCTAAACCAAAACTAGTGATTGAACCAAGCCGTTTCAGAGCCAGGAACTACTTTGATTGCTTACATTAGTGTTGGTGGTTTGGAAGTTTGGTACCTCAGCTTTGATTTAAATCTATTGCATGGTGTACTTCACTTATTTCTGGACAAAGAAATGTAAGATTATCTCTGGTTATATATTCTTGTTTTTCTCTTGTTTCTCTTGTAATAAATTCCACCCTTTTCACAATCTTGGATAACACTGTAATAAATAAATCTTGTATCTAGTAGGATATTTGAGCTTTTTATCTGCAGTATCTTCAGTCTTTTCCAGTTTCCGTTTTGTAAACATGTGCTGGGCTTGTCTTTGTCATAGTGTGTGGGCGTGTTTATTTTGGGGTGAATCTAAAGTGATGGAGGAAGGAGAGAGGGAGTGCCGATGTACAGCCATGGGTGCCGGGACGGCGGCTGCGGCGGCGGTGGTGGTGGTGATAGTGTTTGCGTGTCGGGCCCAGTGGTTAAGGTATGACGGATGGATGTGTGTCCCAGAGAGGAGGAGAGGTGCAGAGACAAACGAGCTGACAAGTCCCCTATTCAACTCCTAATCACAGAGGGAGCGGCCGTGCTACTGTCTGCAGCGTCAGAGGCTGTCTGTGCTCGTGTCGCACATGGAGCACTGCGGCTTTTCACGCCTGCATCGTGGAATATTATTGTGGCTGTTTGCTTCTGAAATGCTATGGTGGATAGATAGCTATGGCCTACGCAGGTGGGCAAACGCAAGACAAAAAAATTTACAAGTATTATCTGGACCTCTCAGTCACAAGTACTCCGATTGTGTATCCGTGTTATGACTCTACAGGTTCTGATTGTCTCTTGATGCGACACGTATGCTTTTCTATGTGTGACGGATCTGTGACATAACAATGACTATAAAAAAAACATGTCCTGACTTTGTTCTGTCTGAAAAAACTGAAGGGAACTGGGGATAAACTTCCAGGTGGCTTCGGTGCAGAACAATCCCGCCGTCAAATGTCAATCAGATACATTAGTAAATGGTGATGCATCAGTTGTATATTATTATTAACTGTTTTATTCCACTGTTTTGATATTCACTAATCACTTTACCTGCTGCTGCTATTATTATTACTTTTATTATTCTGGTCATTTTATCTGCTGCTATAGTACCAACCATGTGTAGATGTGAAACCTCATAACTGACTAGTGTATACCCCTCAAGTGATTTATCTTTGACCTAAGTGCAAAGTACTGTCGGCAAAACAGTGAGGTGAAGCCATGATATTTGTTGTTCCGCAGCACGAAATGCAGTCAGGATGGATTTAGACCATGGCATACATCCTTGTAAACCTTGACCACCAAAATGTATGATGTAAAGCCAAAACAAAGGGACTCGCATATTTTATCTTGGGAAAGTACATTATTGCCTGGCTTCCTACCATAGACCGTATATAGATGAACGATACTAACCCACTACTTATATGACACCCAATAGGGAAGTGCTTGTGGATGAAGTTTTGCTCCGACTCGTTCTGGTAGACTTACATTGAAGAGTAATCTTCTTACTCGATAACCGTTTCTGTCACACTCGCCCTTTTCTTTCCTTGAATATCAATGGTTTAGTGCTCTCTATGAGTATTGTGTCTATTTTTTGACATTGTCTTTGTATATCCGGATATAAGCCATACAAATTGATCAATAGCATGCCTTCTTTCACGGGGAAAAATCTAGCATGCCTTAGCAACCGAGCTAGCAACGCATTAGTTTTCATCTGCCCCTGTTGCTGCATGAAGCTAACCCTGTCTGAATAATTGTCCATATATGGCTATACAACTTCCAATTACAAAAACACATTATGTTAATTCTTCAGATTCTTATGCAACCCTATCAGACCAAGCTTTTCTGTGCATTCTTTCGAGGTCCACAAATGTAAAATGAGATAATTGTACCTGGAGCTATTTAAGGTCAAAGTAGCCTCATAAAAATTGTTTTGTCTTACACAGAAACCCCCTCTCCTCATTAGGCCTCTAAATGTCACTGTGGCGAAGCTAAATCATGGAATGATGACAGAACATTTTGCTGCTAAGATTAAAAGGTCAGATTTGACAATATCCGCAGTGAGGAATCACTTCAAATATCATAATTCCTGCAGTTTTCCATTAAATTACTTAAATTAAATGAATCATTTTCCAGTACACCTCCTGTGGACTCACCACCTGCAGAGGATCAGTGAGGGGCAGGTGTTCTGTGACTTGGGTGGCATCTCTGACTGCCACCCCCCCGACCCAGAAATGGATTAAGGCAGCCATTCCCAAACTCGGTAACACCGAGGCCCCCTTAAAAATCTGACGGGTCTGCGTGGCCCCCCAAAATAATAACCAAGAAGACAACATTAAGAATAGGCTCTTCTGGTTATTTTATTTTGGGGAAATAGCCTCTGCTACAAACATTGTAATACAAAAATGATTACAGTGGATTATTCAAGTCAAATAATGAACACAAATATTTTAATATTACAAACAAAACATTATAAATTTAACATTAAATAATTATATATATATATTTTTTTTTTTATGACCTCCCGCGGCCCCCCTGCAGTACCCTCGCGGCCCACCAGGGGGCCGCGGACCCCACTTTGGGAGACACTGGATTAAGGGGTAGAAAATGGATGGATGGATGGATTTTCCAGTACATATGTATTTATGTTTGTGACTACTCCTGCAGTCGTCTTTACATCTCAAGTAAAATATTCCTATATGCAATATTGTGTAGACCAGAGCTAATAAACTCAACCTGCAGCCACACGGCCCTTGAAGATTTTCATTCCAACCAAACAAAGTGGAGGAGTGGTGGATATTGTGTGGTCCTGCATACTAATTTTTTAATGTTGATTTTAGTGAATAAAACGGCTTTTTTAAGTGAGAATACTTGCTTCTTGCGACTTGCTTGTGACTTAGCTGAGTGGGGTCACATGCTTGTTTCCAATGTAAAAGAAGATCCTGGGTTCAAATCCCGGTCGGAACAGGGTCTTCCTGAGTGGAGTTTGCATGTTCTCCCAATGTCTGTTTAGGTTTCCTCCGGGTGTTCCAGTTTCCCTTTCCACTAAAAACATGTACAATAGGTAAAATCCTCCAGCTCTGGTCCTGGCAAGCTGAGCATCAACATTTGGAGATGGGTCCCTGGCCCTACTATGGCCACCACTGCTCCTGATCGATTATCTAGTGCAGGGGTTTTTCTGGTTGTAAACTTGCAGCCGCAGCGACCTTTTCTGGACCGTTTTGGACATCCCTGCTCTAGTGGCATCAGGATGGGTTAAATGCAGAGGATTAATTTACCTACTGGGATAAATAAAGTGCTCATTTACCTTAAATGACAAACTAGTCTAGTGGTTGTATTTGGATATTTCGACCACTTACAATTCTCCTACTAATTCCCGCCGTCCAGGAGCTCAAGCAATTACTGTTTTTCTAGCCACAAAATTCAAAATTGTATGGAAGGATTTGAACAGAATTCTGGTCTGCGCTCTATTGGTGCTTTTGTAGTTCTAATGTTTTTTGTGTTTCTATTTAATTCTTGTTTTTGGTTCTAATTCTGTTGTTGCACGAATTCAAATCTCGTACTATCGCCTCCCCCCGCAGAATTAAAGCTAACCCATGTCTGCAGTATGGTGTTTCACATATTAAATATTCATTGCACTATTTTTGCCGTGTCCAGTCTGACCTTGGCCTTCTTCTGGACATATGGTATATCTCTACAGAAGTGTACATGGAGCCATCTGAATCGTCTTCTTTTCAACACGCTAAACCATTTGAACCATGAACTGGAACTTGAAGCAGTCACAGAGTCGCTGGCTGGAGGTGCAGTGGGTGTGTACTGGGAAAAGAGCAGGGGAGGAAAGCACACAGCCCTGTGGGGCTCTCTGTATTTATAGATCGAGAGTCGAGACATTCAATCCTTGACGCACTCGCTGATTCCTGTCTGTCAGGAAGTCAGTGATCCCCCTCGAGTGAACCGGGCACGTTGAGCTGGGAGAGCTTGGCCTGGAGCAGGGATGGCAGGTATCGTGTTGAGAGGCAGAGACCCGATTTAAGTCCACGAACAGGACCTGGCGTCGGTCCCCGGGGAGGGCCAAGGCTGTAGGATGTGGTGGGGCCAGGGTGATGAGATGTTCCAGATCTGTTGCTCTGTAGGCGAATGAAGGGGTCCAGGAGGGGTGGAGGTGAGGGACTTGAGATGGGAGATGACCCCAGGCGTTCCAAATGACTTATGACGACAGAAGTATGTGCTAACAGTCTGTAGTCAGTTGAGTCTGTGATCCTGGGGCTTTTCTGGGCACGGGGGCAATGATTGAGGTGTGAGTGAAAGCAGGCCGGGGGACATGGCAGGAATGCAGAGAGGGAGTTGAAAATGTCAGTGAACACAGGAGTTAGCTCACTCGCGCAGTGTCTCAGAGGTGTGTAGCTGGAGACCCTTGGTCCGGGCAGGAGCTTTGCGGGGGGTGCAGCCTCAGAGGGAGTTTGTTTACTATCTCTGTGCCCCCGGGGACTTGGCTGCTTTCAGTTCGTCCCTGAACGGATATTTAGCTGCTTTGTAGCGCTGCGGGCCCCCTCCTGAAAGCCGAAAGGACATGGCATCCATCCACCTTCCAGGGACCTTAAAGACGTCTATTTCCGCCAGGGTCATAGGCTCTCCACCGTGCTGTCCCGGTGTGGGCCTTAGCACGGGTGGGTGGTGAGGATCCCCCCCCATTCCTCTGCAGTGTTATTCCTGCATGCTGGACAAGCCACCTGATAAGTGATAGGCAAGGAGGGAAGAAGGGAAGAACGCCCTACGCAATGGATGCGCATACGATTTATCTGGAACTAGAAATGGACATGAAAATGTTCCAAAAAGTTGACATGACACAACTGTGTCCTCTTCCTGCGCATCGGCATCAAGCTCAATAGTTTTGTTCAGATGTTTTTTAAGAACACGTACCCGTAATATTGTGCTGGTAATGTTGATGTTATAATTGGACATAAGCCATCACTTGATCACCAGGCTTGAAAGGAGTGGAGCTCAGGACAACTGCCCAATGGCGACTCAATTTGGCTTTGGTTACACCCAGTTTCCCCTGCATAAAGGCACGTTGCCTAAACCCGTTACCGTGATCCAAACGATTTTTTCAGGGGGGCGGTTCAGACTCTTTAAACTCAGCAGCACTAGCTTGCTTGACAACACCTGGTACTTCAAGTGACCTCCCACGCAGCAACATCAACCAAGGCAGACCTCCTTCCCAGCCCTTACCTATCTCTATACAGTAAGTATAGAGATCGTAACTCGCTTGGGAGGGCTTTTCAATAAGTTATTTCACGACTAAGAAACAAATGAGAGTTCAAGTTTGTCCCCGTCCAACTGAACACTTCGGTCTCCCAAACCGGAGATGAAATGTGACAATTCCTGCACACGATGTTGCTGTAACAGAAAGCAAAGGATACACAACAGGTAGGGCACTTGCTTTGACAACAGTCAGTAATCTGTAATTGTATGTGACTTTTATTTAGGACTCCTTGAAAAAGAGGTCCATAATCTCAATGGGACTTTCCCCCCCCCCCCCTTTCCCCCCCTCCCCCCTCCCCCCCCCCCCCCTTCCCTCCCCCCCCTGGTTAAATAAAGTAAAAAAAATAATAATATATAGTATACTATATATATATATATATTATATTATTAGGGCTGTCCAAACTTATCGCGTATTCAACGTTAATTACCGTTTTCATTAACGCGTAAAAAAATAATTAACGAAGTTAACTGCCATTGACCGTGTCTCAACTCTTGTTTTATTGGTTGTACCAAAAAGTTAGAGGTTGTGAGAAGTCAAACAGCCTTATTGCAGTGGCTCGGGTAGACTTGCGTCACAGAAAACTAGGGGAACTCTGAGCCAATGGAGCGTCCAGGACAATTCTAATGTAGTGACACGGAAAACCATAGAGAGGGCGCCTCACCGGACGGTTTAGGCTAAAAGTGAGTTTTTAACTAATTTGAGATTAAAATGTCAAATATATGGCCAGGACATGTAGGGGCACTATAGGAAAACTTATTTAGGCAGTGTATAGTAAAAAAGTTGATTTGGTGTTTAGTACTCTTTATAGTAATTTGTATGAATAAAAATGTGTCATTACATTTGAAATCTCATTTAAATTCAATTGAGAGGGATTTGAAATAGAATGTTAAAACTCGATTAATCGTGAGGTTATCACCATTACTTTGAGCGATTAATCAACTAAAAATAATCGTTTTTTTTTTGTGACTGCCCTAATTATAATTTATATATATATATATGATATATATATGATATTCTATATCATTTATTTTTTGTTTTCATGTTTGCATCACTAGAGGGAGCCCAGGTACCCAGTGATTTACGCTTACCACACTTGAGAATCCCTGAACTGACGTCAATTACAGGACAGTCAGGACTGGACCAAATACAGTACAGACCAAAAGTTTGATGCTTTGTCATTCAATGAGTTGTAGATTCACTCTCCAGCCTGTGTAAGGGCTAGTTGACCAGGCCCTCCACAGTCACCGACTGTGGAGGCCAATCCAGTGGTTTTGTGATGAGTTGGACCACAGAGTGAAAGGTGACGGCCACCAAATGCTAAGCATCTCAGGGATCTCCTTCCAAGACTGTTGGAATACCTTTTCAATCATACCTCTTGAAGCACAACAGAGAATGCAAGAGTGTGCGACGCAGTAATCAGAAGCAAAAGGTGCTACTTTGAAGAACTTAGAATATAAGGACCTCTTTTCGTTGTTTAATCCTTTATTACTTATGTACATCATAAGTCCCATGAGTTAATCATAGTGTTGATGCCTATCTAGTGTGATATCGACAATTTTCATAGTGTAAATAATGAAAATATGAAATTAAAAAAATCTTTGAATGAGAAGGGTGTCCAAACTTTTTTTTACAGGTGAAAAATGGCGTTCATTATTACTTCTCACCTTAGCGGGAAGAGGAGAAGTCATATGTTATACATTCTAGAACTACCCACCATTATCTCAGCTACTACCATAGTCTTTAAGCATTATAGCTTAAAATACTTGTAAAAAAAATACTTAAAATGCTTGTATTTTTTATATTTTTTTTTTTTTCATTTTTTAGTGGTGTGTATGTATGTCCCATCTCCTGTATGCAATCTCTTCAAAAGTTTAATATGTCCAAACACATTGATTAAAACATTGTACTCTATAATAAAGTAGTTGTGAGACACCGTCCCCTATCCGAACCAACACAACACAGACAACAAGCAGCATCCAAGCTTACATAAATCATTTTCACATTTTATTTGGAGAAGTAAATTATAAGTCTTGTTTTAAATCTCGTTTATATATTCTTTCTAAATATTTTCCCAGGTTACCAGAACGGAGGTGCCATGTTTCCAGTGTTACCAATCACATCAGCAAGAAACGCATCACTTACCTCTACCCTCACAGACAAGGCCATCCCACCAGCATGTGCTCCCAAAAGATGGGCACCCAAGGAGAAACGCCCACCACACCCAGCATCAGCAGCAGCACAGCACTACATGGACTTTATGAACGTCCGGTCCAGGGCATGTCCAGGGTGAAGCACTTGAGGGTCACAGCGCACCTGCGGGACATGTCCCAAAGTGGGAAGCAGGGACTGACAATGATGTGGTTTATGTGTATGGACTAGTACAATGCGTGGGACTGATCAACGAGTTATTGTTGGATTTTTTGTATTCTAAAGTCTAACAAGAATCCCAAATAAACGTGATCCTAATACATAATAAACTAAAACATATCCTAATTTGGAAACACAAAAATTTAATAAATCCATAGTTATTTTTTTTTCTCTCTCTCATAACTCTTTACTTCCATTGATAGTTTTCCACATGTAGTATTTTTGGCTCTTTCACACCTTTAACTTAAGCTTGTTCAGTGAAAAAAGAGAGTACTTCTAAGCCAATCAGCTCTCAGTAAGTAAAAGACAGCATTGTTTTCTTTAGATGAAGCGCATGTTGTGTTCTTATTTGTTCACAATTTGTCTACTTAAACAAGTATGATTGGACCTATTAATAAAGGTTTTGGGGCAAAGAAGAAAAGAGACAAACCAATTAAATATGTTGCTTTATGGTTTGTGTGGCAGAAAGCAGAGGAAGCGCAGCATCCAGCCAGAGGCCGCCTTCCCCCCCAAACCCCAGCCTCCCCCTGTGGCACGCGCTGCAGAGGCTTCTGTACCAGCTACATTGGTCGGACAACGTGAGATCCGCTTCGAAGTCAATGACGTCTTTGAAACTGCTCAAAGAAGGTAAGTAAGGGTTTGTACTACCCTGGATTGAAATCATTTTCATTTAAGTGGTTCTACCCCCGCTCGCGGAGCTTTACGTCACTAACCATTTCCTGTTCAAATCTTCCTTAAATGGCGTAGCTGGGGGACTAAAGGGGGCGTGAACGAGACTGGGCCGTTTGACATGGCTCTGGGCGGGGGCGGCTGAAGTAAGGTCCAACTTCTGTGCCAGTGTTGGCGCCAGATTCAAAATTCATATGTAGGATTAAGGTCGCCAGCTGATGGCGCCTCACAGAACGGTTTTAGGCAGAAGTTGACTCTCTCTCTCTTTCATCCTCTCCTTTGCTTAAGCGTTTGTGTTGGGAGTGAGGCTTCTTGTGGCTGGGTCTTGGGCAGCACAGTGTGGTGGGACTAGAAGTTGATTTTTTTTTCCCGCTTAATGTGTCTTTGCTGTTTTATGTGTTGTTTTTTACTTTTTGCCTTTGGTTTGCTTTCTGTGTGTTTGGCTTTTTTCTTCTGGTCTTTGTTGTTTTTCTGTTTATTGTTTATGTTGTTATCCTTTCTCTTCTGATCGTTGTGTTGTTGAGCGAGATAAGGGTCAGCACTTCTGCCTAAAACCGTCTGTGGAGGCGCCATCTGAGGCGGACCTGTATTTACTACATTTTGAATTTTGAATCTGGCGCCCCCCAACACTGGCCAGAAGTGGGACCAGACGTCAGCCGCCCCGCCAAGAGCACAATGTTAAACGGCCCAGTCTCGTTCACGCCCCTTTAGTCCTCCAGGCTATCGGCCCTTTAGAGGAAGATTTTGAAACAGGAAATGTGGAGTGATGTAAGCTCGAGGACGCGAGATTGTGGAAGAACCACTTTAATGAAAAATGATTTCAATCCATGGTAGTCAAACCTTAGTACTTCTTTGAGCCAGTTCCAAAGTACGTCATTGACTCTCGAAGCTCAGATATCATCGGTGTCCTGACCAATGTATGGTACAGAGCTCTGCCAGCGCGGGTGCCACAGGGGCGAGGCTGGGGTTTGCGGGGCTGGAGGAGGCCTCTGATGATGCTGCGCTTCCTCCTGGCTTTCTGCCACACAAAACTAAAGGCAAATATTTATTTGGTGTTGTCTCTATTTCTTTCTTTTGCCCCCAAAACCTTTATTAATAGGTTCCAATCATGTCTTGTATAAGTAACATTTTTCGTGAACAATCAGGAAACAAAATGACTTTCTTCATTATAGAAAACAATGCTGTCTTTTACATACGAGGAGCTGATTGCTTAGAGGAGTCTCTTTTTTTTCACTGAAAAGCTTAAGTTAAAGGTGTGATGAGGCCAAATACTTACATGTGATAAACTATCAATGGAATTAAAGAGTTTTGAGAGAGAGAAACAATACTATGGATTTATTAAATTTGTTGTGGTTTCAAAGTTTGGATCTTTTAGTTTTTTATTTTATTAGGATCACTTTTTTTTTTGGGATTCTTGTTAGACTTTGAATACAAAAAAATCCACAGTAATCTTGAGTTCATCAATCATTGGATTTCTTAGACCATCGACATAACCACATCATGTGTCAGTCTTGCTTCACTTCTGGGACATGTCGGCTGGTGCTCTCGTGGAATCAGTGCTCACGCCCTGACATGCCCTGGTCGGGACGGATCATAAAAGTCCATGTTTCTGATGCTTGTGCTGATGCTGGGTGTGGTTGGGCGGTTCTCCTTTGGGTGCCCAGCTTTGGGAGCACAGGCTGGGCGGCATGGCCTGGTTTGTGAGGGTTTTAGAGTAGTGGGACTTTCTGGCTTGGTGTGAGTGGCTCTTTACAAACATGTTATTACATTACAAATGTTTTCACATTTTACATGTTATCACTATTAAGATATTGTTTATACTTTACTACTTGTTTTTAAATTTATCTAATTATTGTTTTTATATCGGAACTACATGGTATTTTCATTACTAACATTTTATTACAGTACACATGTTATTAACTTTATCTCGGTTATATCATGTCACACATGTTAATTCTCTTACTAGGTTTTACTTTTACACTTGTTATTACGTTGCAACACTTGTTTTTTCATTAACACTTGTTTGTACTTTACATCATTGTTATTTACTTTACACACAGTTTATTACATTACCACATGTTATTTCTTAAAACGTTATTACATTGCTCTTGTTGTTACATTACTACGGTTATTACATTAACATACTGCTTTACATTACACACTTGTTTTACTTTTACACATTGTTATTACATTTACACATGTTGTTTACATTACAATGTTATTACATTTACTTTTATTAGTAATTTATCTCATGTTGATTACATTCACCCATGCTATTACATTACTCTTGTGTTCTAATTTAAAACTTGGTTAATTATTTTTTCACATGTTATTACTTTACACACATGTTATTTCGTTGCACACTGTTAGTTACATTACTCACATGTTTATTACATTACAAATGTTGTTCTTTACAAACATGTTAGTACATTTCTCAAAGGTTAGTACTGTATTCTTGTTTTACTTGATCTATTGTTATGTACTTTACACGATGCTTATTATCATTACACTGGTGATTCTCAGGGTCTCAGGTTAATACAGTACAACATGTGTTTAATTTTAACATGGTATGACATTGCTCACAATTGTTGCGACATTTAAACATGTGATGAATTTACTCGGTTATGACATTACTACTCTTGTTTATTTCAGTTCACTCTTGTGATTACATTTACACACGTTTGTACATTGCACTTGTTGTTACATTTCAAATGGTATCTACTTTAATTAAACTTTCTACATTTACAACTTGTTTTATCAGTACTTACATGATTTTCACATTACACACATGTTACTTACATTACAATGTTATTACATTACACACATGTTATTACGTTTACACATGTTATTACATTACACACATGTTATTACATTTTACACTTATATTACATTACACCATGTTATTACATTAACATGTTATTACTTTACACATGTTACACATGTACACATGTTAATCATTTACACATGTTATTACATTACACACATGTTATTCACATTGCACACATGTTATTACATAACACACATGTTATTACATTACATGTTATTACATTACATGTTATTACATTACACATGTTATTACATTACACATGTTGTTACATTACACCTGTTTCACATGTTATTACATTACCACATGTTTATATACATTACAAACATGCTATCACATTACACACTGTGTTATACACTGATTAACATGTTATTACATTTACACACATGTTATTACATGTGCACACATGTTATTACAATTACACATGTTATCACATTAACATGTTATCACTATTACACATGTTATACATTACACATGTTATTACATTACACACATGTTATTACATTGCACACATGTTATTACATTACACATGTTTTTACATTACACATGTTATTACATTACAAACATGTTATTACATTACACACATGTTATTACATTACACATGTTATTACATTACACACATGTTATTACATTACACATGTTATTACATTACACACATGTTAATCACATTACACACATGTTATTACATTACACACATTGTTATTACATTACACACATGTTATTACATTACACATGTTATTACATATCACATGTTATTACATTACACATGTTATTACATTACACACATGTTATACATTACACACATGTTATTACATTACATGTTATTACATTACACACATGTTTATTACGTTGCACACATGTTATTACATTACACACATGTTATTACATTACACATGTTATTACATTACACACATGTTATTACATTACACACATGTTATTACATTAACACATGTTATTACATTGCACATGTTGTTACATTACACATGTTATTACATTACATACATGCTATTACATTACACACATGTTATTACATTACACATGTTATTACATTACACACATGTTATTACATTACACATGTTATTACATATCACATTATGTTATTACATTACACATGCTATTACATTACACATGTTATCACATTACACACATGTTAATACATTACACATGTTATTACATTACACACATGTTATTACATTGCACACATGTTATTACATTACACACATGTTATTACATTTACACATGTTATTACATTACACACATGTTATTACATTACACACGTTATTACATTGCACATGTTGTTACATTACACCTGTTATCACATTAAAACACATATTACATTACACATGTTATTACATTACACACATGCTATCACATTACACACATGTTATTACATGTAATCATGTTATTACATTCACATGTTATTACATTACACATGTTATTACATTACAAACATGTTATTACATTACACATGTTATTCACATTATACATGTTATCACATTACGCACATGTTATTACATTACACATGTTATTACATTACACACATGTTATTATATTGCACACATGTTATTACATTACACATTTTATTACATTACACATGTTATTACATTACACATGTTATCACATTACACACATGTTAATACATTACACATGTTATTTCATTACACACATGTTAATACATTACACATGTTATTACATTACACACATGTCATACATTACACATGTTATTTACATTACACAAATGTTATTACAGTTACACTTGTTATTACATTACACATGTTATTAGATTACACATGTTATTACATTACACATGTTATCACATTGCACACATGTTAATTACATTACACATGTTATTACATTACACACATGTTATTACATGTACACATGTTGCTACATTACACATGTTATTACATTACACATGTTATTACATTACACACATGTTATTACATTGCACACATGTTCTACATTACACACATGTTATTACATTACACACGTTATTACATTACACATGTTGTTACATTACACCTGTTATTACATTACATACATGTTATTACATTACACACATGTTATTACATTACACATGTTATTACATTACACACATGTTATTACATTACACATGTTATTACATTACACACATGTTA